ACAGGAAAGAAAAGGAAGAAAGTCAAGTGAATTTTTCATATTTTGGAAATTAAAATTTGAAATGAATTTAGACAGAATTAACTTAGGGATTCTGAGGCCATGTCCACCCTAACAAAGTAAAATGGAGAATCAAAATAGCTATCCAGACAATTCAAGTTAAATATCTCTCTAGCATGAACTATCCAGATAATTCCGATTCTTCACATTATTTTGTTAGTATAGATGTGACCTATTAAGAAATAAAATGGGGTGTCTATAAAACTTTAAAAGATTATGAAATAAGTGATTCTGGATCATTTTAAATGGTCAAGGAAAGTCAAAAATCTGTTGTATGACTGCATTTAGAGGAAAATGTATTGTCTGTAGAATATAAACTGCATTTTCTATGAGCACCTAAGTGACAGAGAGAAAGGGTAACTGTTGAACCTGGTAATTTAAAAATCTCATTCAAAACAAAGGAAAATGCCAGGCTGCTTTATTTTTACATTTAATTAATAGTTTCATCCCATTGTACTGTTTACTGTGTATGGGTTGTTTTCCTTTGCCTACAGCAGCTCTTGAAGACACTGCCATGTGCCCAGATGTTAACTGCCAGTTTGAAGACAGGAGAAGTAAGTTCAAAGATCAAGGGCAGCATGAGCTGAAAATCTGAGAGCAAGGATAATAAAAGAAAAAAGCCAAAAGAAATGCAAATGTACTTTTTTCCTCTATCCTTCAGATACAAGCCAAATGTCCTTCAGATAGAAACTACACCAAATAGCCAAGATGGCTGCAGGCCAGATGATTCAACGGGTTCTCAATATCACAGATGCCAAAGAAGCCATATGGGCATAAAGAAACTTCAATACATAAGTGCAGATTCCCATTTGGTTTCAATCATGTGCAATTTCCTTTTATTTATTTAATAGGGTAAAGGGCTTAACTATTTCGCCCAAATCCTATAACACAATGGCAGATCTGTCAAGAAGCTAGGAATTTTCATGTGGTTCCACAATTAATTCACTGATTACCCTCTGTGCTAACTCAGAGGGTAAGGCAGAGAGATGGATGAAAAATGAAAATGGGGCCTCTTGCCAGGGCCCTTGGCAGGGGTGGAGGGATAGTTCAAAAGTTGGTCATGGTTTAGGGATATTTATCTGTTTTGTTCTTAAGGTTTAATTACTGGATTTATGTAAGGTGGGATAGAATAGGACATACTACTACTATTGTGCTTAGTCAGTGTTCACATTGCAGCAGAATATCAAAGGCTATTTTGGGGCACAAATATAATTGATTGCAAGGTTTCTAATTTATATTGGATGTCAGTTAAGTACAAAAAAGTTTGTCAGCTCCTGAAAGGTCCATCAGTCAAATAACCCAGA